CCAAAGGAACTGCCAACCACTACAAAACAGGGATCTATTTTCCAGCCAGACTGCATCAGATCAGACAAAAATCCCTGCTCTCATGGTAATTACATTCTAGTGGAGAAGACAGATAGTAACCAAAATAATTAGAAAGTCATATGGTAAAGTATAGAGGCCATGGGGGAACATAAAGCAGGGAACGGGACAGAGGAATGCTGGGAATGAGGCTATGATTTGAATTAAAGTGTTCAGGGAAGGCTTCACTGAGGAGGTCACATTTGAGCAAAGGTTTCAGCGAGGGAGTGAACAGAAGTATTTGGAGGGAAGATGTTTCAGGTGGAGTGAACAGCATGTGCAAAGGAAGCACAGCAGGAGGTTCATGTGGTTGGAGCAGAGGGAGCAAGGGAGAAAGAAGGGGGAGGTGAGAGCCGAGAGTGGACAGGGGCAGGCAGTGCAGGGTCTTGTGGGCCTCTGGGAGGACTTAGGCTTGTACCCCAAGGGAGGTAGGAGCACTAGAGGGCTGTGGACAGAGCAGAGATGAGACCTCACTTGGGTGCTCACAGGCGCCCTGTTGTGGCTGCTGCGGAAGGTACAGACTGTAGGAGAAGAGGGTGGGGGTGGGGGTGGGGGGACAGGATCTAGGGTGGAGCGCACTTGCACTGGTTCAGGCAAGTGATGATGGAGGACTGGACCCCATGGAGGCAGAGGCCGGGCTGTTAGGATTTTTGCTCACCCCATCCCCTTTTCTTTGCTATTTCAAATAATGTTGCAACAAGTGCTTCATTTTCATTTTTTTAAATTTAAAAATTTTTGAATTTGTAACATTTTAATACAGTTTAGATCTGTGTGTCTGGTTCATTTCAGCTCCTTCACTACCAAACCTGGGGGCAGGGACTGCTTCAGTTTCTCTGCCTTCTCTTTGTGTAGACCAAGATAGAAAGATATCTGCTGCATCAGACTTCAAACTTCACATTATCCTTATTTTTCTTGATCTTGACAGCGCTGTCATCCGTGCACCTGGCTGGCTGTGAGCAGGAAGTCCTTGATTTCCTCAGTTTTGCCAGGCATGGCGAGGAGGCATGCGGAGAGCCTGCGGCTGGCACCTCGGATCACCCCACTATCTCTGTGTACCGTCCAAGAGGCACTCGGAGCAAGAAGAGCCTTTTTACTGTTTAAGAAACACTGCTCTAGTGCTCGACTTGTTAGCACATGTGCTAAAAATAAAAAGAACACTGCTCTCTTCAGTTCGTCAAAATGGATTTGTAGACTCAAAGGTTTTGCATTTAAAAGTTAAAACATTTCAAATGTTTAAGCTTGAGATGTTCAAACACTAAAAAAAGAAGTAGCCCTCTTTCCTCCCCCGCCAATTTTTCTAAAGGTTTATTATGAAAACTTTCAAATGCATAGAAAAGTTGAAAGAATTTTACAGTGAATTGTCATTTGCCCAAGGTCCATTTTCTCCAATTGCCATTTTCTATATTTGCTCTATTATATACCTATCCATAAATATGTCAAATTTTTTATGCATCTCAACAGAAAAATCACACTTATTAGGATGGCTCTCAAAAATTGGAAAATGACAAGTGTTGGTGAGAATGGGGACAAATTGGAACCTTTGTGCACTGTTGGTAGCTGCTGTGAAAGAGTTTGGCGGTTTCTCAAAAAGTTAAACATAGAGTTACCATATGACCCAACAGTTACATGCCTAGGTATTTGCATACCCATGTCCACCGAAGCATGATTCATAATAGCCAAAAGGTGGGAACAACCTGTATCCATAGATGAAGAGATAAACAAAATGTGGTCTATCCAGTACAATGGAATATTATTCAGCCTTGAAAAAGGAAGGAAATTCTGGCAAATGTTACCATGTGGATGAACCTTGTGGACATTGTGCTCAGTGAAATAAGTCAGACACAAAAGGACAAATATTGTATGTTTCCACTTTATGAGGTCCCTAGGGGTGTCAAATTCACAGAGACAGAAAAAATATAATAGAGGTTAATAGGTAATAGGGCCCGAAGCCACTGTGAATAATGCTGCTATGCACATGGGTATACAATTTTTAGGGTCCCTGCTTTCGTTTCTCTTGGGTGTAGACCTATGGTAGTTCTATGTTAACTTTTTGAGGAACCACCATACTGGTTTGACACAGTCACTTAAAAACTTCTTCTTGTGTGAACAGCATCCTAGTGACAGCCTGTGGTGGCTTGGACCGTTATGGGGTGATAAAGATGAGTGAAGTGACTAGATTTAGACTCTATTTCAGAGGTAGAGTCAACAGGACTGTGGGTGGACGGGATGGGGAGGCTAATGGTGCTGTCTCCCCAGTACTCAAGTCTACATCCTTGTACTTGTACTTGACAGAATAAGACTCTTCCTCCTAAATTTCATATCCAATCCACCTGCAAATCCTGTTTGCTCCACCTTCAAAATTAATCCGGAATCCCATTGTCTGTTTTTTTCACACACGAGCCTGACTGACCCTCTTTTTATTTTTTTTTTAAATATATATATATATATATATATATTTTTTTTTATTGATTTTTTTACAGAGAGGAAGAGAGAGAGAGACAGAGAGTCAGAAACATCGATGAGAGAGAAACACCGATCAGCTGCCTCCTGCACATCTCCCACTGGGGATGTGCCCGCAACCCAGGTACATGCCCTTGACCGGAATCGAACCCAGGACCCCTCAGTCCGCAGGCCGACGCTCTATCCACCGAGCCAAACCGGTTTCGGCTGACCCTCTTTTTAAAAAAAACCCCTCACCCGAGGATATGCTTGAGAGAGTGGAAGGGAAAGAGAGACATGGATCGTCTGCCTCCCGTACGCACCCCTTTTTTGGTGTAGGGAGGACACTCCAACTAACCAAGCCACCTTGCGAGGGCCTGAACGATCCTCTTAACACCTGAGTCAGGGTATGTGTATCCCAGATTATGACAAGACCAGTGGCTTCTCATGGGAAAAGCCTGCAGGTTGCCTTGTTCTCAGAACCCAGGGGTTAAATGAAATCTTCTATCTATCCATACTAATAAAAGAGAAAATGCAAATTGACCGTACCATCACGACGCACACAAGCCAATCGGAGTATGCAAATTAACCCAACAAAGATGGTGGGTTAATTTACATACACAGGCCCCGAGCGGCCGGGGGCGGGGCAGGATGCTTGTGTCATCACCATGGCTAAAACACAGATGTTCTGCACTGCCCCAGCCGCTCCAGGGGCAGCGTGGGAAGGCAGAAAGGCGGCTCTGAGCTGGAACGAAGGCAGAAAGGCGGCTCCAGGCTGGAGCGAAGGCGGTGCCGGCAGCCAGGGGAAGGAAGGCTTATTCTTGCACGAATCTTCATGCATCAGGCCTCTAGTCCTATCTAATAATAGACAAAGATGGTAATTGACTGTACCTTCACTACGCCTCCCATTGGCCAATCAGCAAAATACGCAAATTAGCCACCAACAAAGATGGCGGCTAATTTGCATACTGCATGCAGGGTGGGACAGTTCGAGCCACTATCTGGGCCCTGTGTGCCTCCTAAGCCCCGCCCCCAGCCGCGACCCCCGTGTGCCACCTAAGTCCCACCCCCAGCCACGACCCCCATGTGCTGCCTAAGCCTCGCAGCCAGCCGGGACCCCATGGCGATCCGAGAGCAGGAAAGTGCGGCCTGTAGGCAGCACCCAGCAAGGCCTGCTCCTGGGTCACCGTGGCGATCCCAGAGCAGGAAAGTGCGGAGGCAGGCAGCACCTAGGAGGGCCTGCCCCTGGGTCTCCGCGGCGATCTGGCTATCTGTGAGCAGGAAAGCGTGGCCTGCAGGCAGCACCCCACCCTGGCCACAGCTCAAGGGAGAGTACAACACGCAGTGGAGGCCAGGAGCCTGAGAGATCAACACAGAGGGGCGCCTGCTCCAAGCCTCCACGGTGTGGCTGGGGGCAGGCCCCCAGCAGAGACACACATACACACACACACACACACACACACACACACAGAGCCTGCTCTGAGCCTCCAATGTGGCTGGGGGCAGGCCCCCAGCAGACACATACATACACACACACACACACACACACACACACACACACACACGACGCCTGCTCTGAGCCTCTGCTGCCAGACTGTGGCTGTCAGTAGGACATCCACTGAGGGCTCCCGGACTGTGAGAGGGGCAGGCTGGGCTGAGGGAACCCCACCCCCCCCAGTGCACGAATTTCGTGCACCGAGCTTCTAGTACAGCTGTGGGCAAATTACCGCCCGCAGGCCGGATCCCGCATTTGAAATGAATAAAACTAAAAATAGAAAAGACCGTACCCTTTTATGTAATGATGTTTACTTTGAATTTATATTAGTTCACACCAACACTCCATCCATGCTTTTGTTCCGGCCCTCCGGTCCAGTTTAAGAACCCATTGTGGCCCTCGAGTCAAAAAGTTTGCCCACCCCTGTTCTAGTGTATACATAAAAGCCTAAGCAACCCTTACCACCCATTCAGTGGCTGGGTTGCTGTGACAAGCACTGACCACCAGGGGGCAACACTAAGGGAGGAGCTGCCCCCTGGTGGTCAGTGCACCAACTTCCCCGGGCCAGCCAATCTCCCCCAGTTCCTCCCCGCAGCCTGCCGCGCGATCGCGGGCCAGGCCGAGGGACCCCACCCCTGCCGAATTAGTGCAGCGGGCTTCTAGTCTTTTAATAAATCCTTCAGTTCTCAGTCTTGGCCACGCCCTAGAGAGCTTTGATCCCGCTTCCGGGACGCTGCGCATGCTCCGTCGCTAACCCCTCTTCCCCCTCCCCCAGCCCCACCCCCGGCTGAATCGGCACAAACCATTTTCAGTTGTGTCTGGTGAGGAGGCTCCAGAGACTCTCTTCCGGGGACAGGGTGGCGTTGCGCTCCGCCTTCCCTGAGGCATACGCTTAGGTGCTCCCTGGGGTGGACGTGTGAGCCACGGCGCCGGTGCCCACTCGCGCCTCCGGGCGTCCTCTCCCGCGGAGCCTTGCGCGGCGCCCTCTCCCTTCCGGCGCGGCGGTGGTGCGGTCCGTCCGGTCACGTGGGCCGCAAGATGGCGGCCCCCAGAGCGCGCTGCCAGCATTGCGGCCCGTGAGGCGGCCGCGGCGGCTGCGGAGGAGACCGGGCGGCGAGGTCTGCGTTTCTGGAGCTCGTTCGGGCGATCGGCGGCGGGGAGCACGGTGCGGGGCCGACCTGGCGGGCGGGCGGGCGCGGGGAGGACGCGTCATGGGGCGGGGGTCCCGGCTCTGGGACTCACTGGCTGGCGGTGCGAGGCACCTCCTCCGCAGGAGGCCGGCGAGCTCTTCCACCGGCTTCTGGGGACCCTGTCTCCGAGGGTCCCTTCGCTGGGGACCCAGCGCGTGTTGGGGGTCCCATGTCAGGCGACTCCTTTCTCGGAGTCCTGGGGGAACCGGTTCGTGGGGGACCCGCGTAGACAGACCTGGAAGCATCGGGTCCCTAGGAGTCTTCCGAGCGAAGGGGTCCGGCGCGCAGCCCCGCGGGATTCCGCTGCGGCGACCCCTCCGGAGGGGGAAGCCGAGTTCCCGGAAGTCATTTTGCTGGGAGTTGTTGGTACAGAGCGGTCTCGGAGGGAAGGGGTTTCGGAGATCCAGGTCTCCTCTCCCTCCATCCCTTTCCCGTTCACCTTGTCTGTGTCTGAGGCCTTCCCAGGGTGAGCGGATTCCCGCAGCCCCACGCCCACACCCGGTCCCCTGCCCACCGAGAAGCAAATGGGCCTCGGGGTGAGCCGCGGCCCCGGCGGTGGGTGTCCCCTCCCTGTCCCGGGCGCAGAGGCGGTGCGGGCCCCTGGAAGCAGCACCGGCTCCGGCGGCTGTGCCTGCAGCTGGAGGAGCGGCTGCTGATGGGATGCCGTGCGGGAGGGGAGGGGAGGGGAAGGGAGGCGCCCGCGCGGGGCTGGGCGCTGGGAGCGTAACTTCATGCGCTGCGACTGCGAGGTCCCGGCCCCTTCGGCCCTTTGGCAGGTGACGGCAGGTGCGTCCGTGTGTACGTGGCTTCGGTGCGGGCCTGGCAGGCAGTGGATGTGCAGTTCACCCGACAGATACTCGCCCAGGCCCGTCAGGAGTCACTCACTCCTGGCGGCTGTGGGTTCTGACTGTCCCTCACGCAGGAGTCACCCCTTTGATGGTCACCTGCGCGCCAGCAGCCGCACCGCCCTCGCCCTCGTGGAGCCTGGTGGAACCTGCTGTGCTGCTGCTGGGAGCAGGGGCCGCGGGGGTCAGGGGGCTGCCGGGGGCGGGGGCTGCCGCCGCCGCTTTCAGGTTTATTACGAGGCCTCCAGGTCCTCTTGGTCTGGAGGAGGAGAGGGTTCCCCTCCTTCCAGCCTCAGCCGTGTCTTTTCACCGTATTTCATCCATTCAACACAGTGTCTGGCTTAGAGCTCAACCGCCTGGGTTTCTAACTTTTCACATTGCTTCTAAGCAAGCCTTTAACTAAACTCCCTGTGCTTGCTTCCTCTCCTGTAACATGGCAACCATCGCAGCCCCTGCCTCACCCGGTTACGGTGGGGCTTGCATGCGCTCCTGACTGTAAAGGGCCTAGAAGAGAGTTTGGCGCCTGCACATGCTCTGTGGATGTCAGCTGCTGTGACTGGGGGTGGTTCTCATTGAGGGTCCCCTGTGTGCTGGGGTGCAGCAGTGACTAGAGACGCCAGCTTTCAGAGTCTCCTAGTCTAGCGAGGCGTCAGAAGGGCCACGGTCAGCTAAACCAGTAAACTCGCAGTACGGTAGCTACTAGTGGGAAGTGCTGCCAGGAAAGATAGAGCAGAACAAGGGGGAAGAAACAGGAGCAGCATGGGAGGTTGTGATCAGCGAGGCTTCTCTGAGGAGGTGACATTTGAGGCTCAGGAAGTGAGAGAGAGCGGGGCACTGCGGAAAGAGTTCCCGAGGGGCAGAACAGTGCGGGCAAAGGCCCTGGGGCAGGCGTTTGCCTGGTGTGTTGGAGGAACGCGAGGAGGCCTGTTTGGAATGGAATGAGTGAAGGGAAGGGAGGAAGTGAGGGTGGGAAGGGCACCTAGGGCCTTTGGGGACTCGCAAGGAGCTTGGAGTAATAAGGCACCACAGGAGGATTTTGCAAGGGAGCCGCAAGTTCGGTTTCTATGCGGAAAGGATTCCGTATCAGTCACCTGTGCTGTGTAACAAGTTACACAGTGTTTCTTACGACCTGCCCTCATAAGTCACACTCATTTCTTCCATATCCTGTTGTTTACACAGGTCAGTCCTATTCATTGTGGGAGGGGGCCACACTGGGCACAGATACCAAGAGGTGGGGGTCATGGGGAGCTCTCTTGGGGACCAGCTACCGGTCTCTGGCTGCTGTGTGGTTAGCAGACCCGAGGATGTAATTGCTGATACGTAGGCCAAAGACCCTGGGGAGGTCCACACAGTAAGCAGGTGGGGCCAGAGCCAGACTTTCAGAGATATCCAGGCTGGACAGCAGGTCGGAAGCCACGTGGCCAGGTTCTAAACTAAATGAACAAGTCACTTGAGCAGGAGGGCGCCTCTAACCTGGCCTTTTGGTTTTCTGTGGTAAGGTTCTTGTGCCGAGAGGAGCCTCGGAAGGAACAAGGCGTGCACCATGGTGACGGAGCAGGAGGTGGAGGCCATTGGGCAGACACTGGGTGACCCCCAGCAGCCCCTGCAGGCCCGCTTCCGGGCACTCTTCACACTGAGAGGGCTTGGCGGCCCAGACGCCATTGCCTGGATCAGCCGGGCCTTCAGGGATGACTCCGCCCTGCTCAAGCACGAGCTGGCCTACTGCTTGGGCCAGATGCAGGACCGCCGAGCCATTCCTGTGCTGGTGGAAGTGCTGCGTGACACCCACCAGGAGCCCATGGTGCGCCACGAGGCAGGTGAGTGGTGAGGTGAGGTGAGGGCACCCTCTGCTTCTCATTCATACACGGTGCCAGCCAGGGCTCAGCACATCTCTGTAAAGGGCAGGTAGTAAGTGCTTTCAGTCCCACTGGCAGACAGGCTGTCCCACAACTCAATTCTACTTTTGTAGCATAAAAACCACCATAAACCAGAGTCAACAGATGGGTGGGACCACATGGATGCTGAGATTTGAATTTCATATAATTTTCATGTGCCGTGGAATATTATCCTTTTGGTTAAAAACGCTTTTTCTAGCCCTGGCTGGTATTCTCAGTGATTAGAGCACCATCCTGTGTACAAAGGGTCGTGGGTTCGGGCCAGGGCACATGCCCAGGTTGCAGTTTTGATCCCCAGTTGGGGCATGTGCATGAGGCAACTGATCTATAAAAGCCATTCTATGTGCATATAAAAACAGATGGTGGGCCGGAACCGGTTTGGCTCAGTGGATAGAGCGTTGGCCTGGGGACTGAAAGGTCCCAGGTTTGGTTCCGGTCCAGGGCATGTACCTTGGTTGTGGGCACATCCCCAGTGTGGGGTGTGCGGGAGGCGGCTGATGGATGTTTCTCTCTCATCGATGTTTCTAACTCTCTGTCCCTCTCCCTTCCTCTCTGTAAAAAATCAATAAAATATATTTAAAAACAAACAAACAGATGGTGCGCTATAGATTGGAGCCCCTTTTTCATCTATTCATGTCATTCACTGGACAAAAGTTTTTGAGTGCCTGTTGTGAGCTTCCCCTGCGGTGCCTACGTCCTTTCTACTAATCAACATGAACTCTCTCTGCCCGCTCTTCTTAGGGGAGGCTTTGGGCGCCATCGGGGACCCAGAAGTTCTGGACATTCTGAAGCAGTACTCCGCCGACCCTGTTGTCGAGGTAACTCGGCCGGGCCCTCCCTCGCCCTGCCCTCGCCCGGACCAGCCCCAGACCCGGGTCTGTTTGCAATGGTGACTGCTTGACTAGGAATTCTGGAGAGAGGTGCAGTCAGGATGGGTGCAGGCTGCTCCCAAACTGGGCACAACCGAACACTTCATTTCCATCCAAACCCACCCTGCCCTGGGCCTTGAGTCACCGTGGAGCTGGCCTCACCTCTCTGGCACCTCCATTGTCCATCTCTCTCATGGCTACTCATCACCTCTAGGATAAAATTACAAGTCCTCACTGTGGCCCACACGCCCAGAGTCTGTTCTGACCACTTGTATTCAGGTCACCTTTGTGGTTAGCTCCCCCTCAGTTCTCCCCTGACAGGTCTGGCGGGTCCTGCCTCGGGGCCTTTGCACTGGCTGCTTCCCCCTGACTCCATCTCTCACTTGGTTCTGATGTCACCCCCACACTGAGCCGTGCCCTGGCCCTGTCTCCCTTATGACTCCCTAATTACCCCCAGAGAACAGGAAGGGGGCCCACAGGCCCACCACTGTGTCCCCAGGGGCCGCCTGCCACCTTTCTCTGCAGGTGGCTGAGACGTGCCAGCTGGCTGTCTGTCGGCTGGAGTGGCTGCAGCAACACAGCGGGGAGCCAGCAGCAGCGGGGCCCTACCTCTCCGTGGACCCGGCCCCTCCGGCCAAGGAGCGGGATGTGGGGCGGCTGCGGGAAGCGCTGCTGGACGAAGCCTTGCCGCTGTTCGACCGATACCGAGCCATGTTCGCCCTCCGGGATGCCGGCGGCGAGGAGGCTGCCCTGGCGCTGGCTGAGGGTGAGGAGGGGCCCCGGGTGAGGCTTAGTGGCTGCATCTGTGACATGGAGCGACTTGTCCCGGGGACGCGCACTGTGGGCCTGGCCCCAGAACTTCCCCACGGGCTTTACACAAATTAACTCCTGCTCAGAGGTGGGTGGGCAATCGGAGAGGCAAGGAGACTTGCCTGAGGGCACACACCCAGTCAGCAGAGTAGAGCCTCCGCACCCTGGCTCCAGCATCCTTAATGTCTTCCTGTCATCACTTGTCTCTGCCCCTGGGTGCCCAGCCCATGTCCCCGCTTGTCCTCAGCTTCTCTGACGGCACCACACAGCCAGCAACTCCTCTGCTCCCTCCCGCAGGCCTTCACTGTGGCAGCGCCCTCTTCCGCCATGAGATCGGCTACGTTCTCGGCCAGCTGCAGCATGAGGCGGCTGTGCCCCAGCTGGCTGCGGCCCTGGCCCAGAGGACCGAGAGCGCCATGGTGCGACATGAGTGCGCGGAGGCCCTGGGAGCCATTGCCCGCCCCACCTGCCTGGCTGCCCTGCGGGCCCACGTGGCCGACCCCGAGCGCGTGGTGCGGGAGAGCTGCGAGGTGGCCCTGGACATGTACGAGTATGAGAGGGGGCCGGCCTTCCAGTACGCGGACGGGCTGGAGCAGGTGCGCACGCCCTCCTCCTAGAGCTACTGCCGGGGCCTCTACCTGAGGACTCAGCATATAAACTGAGTTTGTGTGAATCGGATCTTGCTTCCCTGGCTCCCTGAACCTGCTCACTTGGCCGGATCTCAGCAGCTTTTGCATCTTGATTAACCCCAGGACGAGGCTGAGGTCTCTGCTGTCCCGACTGAGGGCCTAGCACAGGCTGCAGTGTACGGGCGGGATGTCAGCATGGGAGCGAGGATCTGGGGGTGGGGGTGCAGGGGTGGGGCTGTGCTCTGGGGAGGTTGTGTGGCCCAGCTTCTCCAGGAATGAGGGGGTGCAGAGAAAGGCACTGTGGGGAATCTGTGCCTGGTGGGCCTGGGCGGGGTCTGGGCCTCTAACTCCCCACCTGGGGCCCTGGGTGGGCTGGGCTAGGGACTTGGGACACGTGACAAACAGGCCCCAGGCACTGCTTACGTGGAATATTAAATTATTTTTGCCGAGCAGTCACTCTGTGTGTGTGTTGGGAGGCTGCGGGGCTTAACTTGGCGCCTCTCAAGGAGCAGCTAAGTGTGGGTGTGGGGTGGGGGCGTTTGGAGAGCTCAGCTCTGCGATCTGCCTGTGCTAGACGTGACCGACGCCGGCTGTGTCCCCGCATCGCCACCCACTCCCTGTCCAGTCAGCCCCCTCCAAGAGGGTCAGGAAACAGCCCTCCAGCCTGCCCCTCCCCAGGCCCTCATGGGGGGATGAGGAAGGGGTTTTGTGGTATGGCTAAGAGCTTGGGCTATGGACTGCCATCCCAGGTCCCTGCCCTCCCCTCCACCCCCCTTCTCCCAGATGCAGCCTTCAGCAGGCCATTTACCACTCTAATGAGCCTAACAACTAGTTTCATATTTACTGCTTTCTGTGGGTTAACAACCCTGATGCAGGTGGTGGGGATTCCACGAGGGCATGGGTGCCAGGAGGTGTGGTCCTTGGGCACAGCTATGACCCGTTTTTACAACAACCTCTTCTCTGCTCACAACTCTTCTGACACCAAGTGTTTGAGTTTTCCACAGCAAGCAGTTCTCTGTTTCTCTGCAGACACCAGCTGGGCGTCCTGCAATTCAGTCCTGACACTAAGGGCCCGGAATGAGCACAGACACCACCACTTAAACGGGCTCCAGGCCCCGTCCTGTGCTTCTGACCCACCAGGGTTCTCACCACCCCCTGCTCACATCTGAGGATTTGCTAGGAGAGCTCCCAGAACGCAGGAAAGGGCTTTACTTACCCATTTATTGCAAAGGACAGATGAAGAGACAGGGCTAGGTCCAGAAGGGCCCCAGCACAGGAGCTTCTGTCCCCCGGAACTGGCACACCATCATCGGCACGTGGAAGCCCCTGAGCCCCTTCGTTTTGGGCTTTTGTGGAGAGTCCATCACTTCGGCACCTTGATGAAATCTCTGCTAGTTGATGCAGGCAGGGTCGGGGGTGGGGCTAAGGGTTTTCTCCCACCCGCGGTTGGTTTTCCCCTCCCAGCCCATCATTAGCCTAACCCGGGTATAGTGGGAGGGGTGAGTTAAAAAGCACAAAGGGCCCTAGCTGGTTTGGCTCAGTGGATAGAGTGTCAGCCTGCAGACTGAAGGGTCCCGGGTTCGATTCGGTCAGGGCACATGTCCGGGTTGTGGGCTCGGTCCCCAGTGGGGGGTGTGCAGGAGGCAGCCAATCAATGATTCTCTCTCATCATTGATGTTTCTCTCTCTCTCCCTCTCCCTTCCTCTCTGAAATCAATAAAAATATATTTAGGAGAAAAAAAAAAGTACAAAGGCCTGGCTGGTGTGGTTCAGAGGTTGAACATGGATCTGTGAACCAGGGGGTCGCAGTTTGATTCCTGGTCAGGGCATTTGCCTGGGGTGCAGGCTCAATTCCCTGTAGAGGGCGTGCAGGAGACAGCTGATCAGTGATTCTCTCATCATTGATGTTTCTATCTCTCTCCTTTCCTCTCCCTGAAACCAATAAAAATATATATTTTTTAAAAGCACGAAGGGCCGTAGCCCATTTGGTTCAAAGATTAAAGCATTAGCCCATGGACTGAAGAGTCCTGGTTTCTATTCCGGTCAAGGGCATGTACCTCAGTTGCAGGCTTGATCCCTGGCCCTGGTATCAATGTGTCTCTCACATGTGTCTCTCTCTCACTCCAATTTTTTTCATGTTTCTCCCTAACTCCAAAGTCATTAAGAGAATGCAGCATTCATTTAAAACAAAACAAAACACGAAGGGGCCCTCTCACCCTCATCACTCAGGAAGGGGCAGGGTTTTAGGAGCTTGGTGCCAGGAACCTGGACGAAGATAAGTATACGTTTCTTATTATCTCAGTGTCACAGACACCCCCTCTTCCTGGGACCCTGCATTTGCCCAGCTTCCCTCGCCCTCTCTCCCTCATTGCCCAGGGCTGGTTCCTGGGGGGCAGGGGAGGGGGGGCTCAACCCTCTGAGTGGCCTGGTCCCCTGTAGGGTATCTAACCTCATCTGTGCTGAGTCCTGTCTCCAGCCGGGGGTCCCCTGAGCTCCACACTCGAGGCCCAGCTGCCCCTCCGCATCTCCACCTGATGAAGCACCTCAAACCCAGTGTATCCTTACATTTCCTCTTACTGCCTCCCAAGTTGCTTCTCCCACCGGAAATGGAAACTCCATCATTCTCGGTGGTCAACCTAAAAACATTCAGGTGTGACCAATTAAAACCCTATCCCAGCCCTAACCGGTTTGGCTCAGTGGAAGAGCACCGGCCTGCGGACTGAAGGGTCCCAGGTTCAATTCCGGTCAAGGGCATGTACCTTGGTTTCAGGCACATCCCCAAAAGGAGGTGTGCAGGAGGCAGCTGATCGATGTTTCTCTCTCATCGCTGTTTCTAATTCTCTACCCCTCTCCCTTCCTCTCTGTAAAAAATCAATAAAATATATTTAAAAAACTACAACAACCTCTCCCAGATCTGCACACTTCCCTCCCCTTCTACCTCTACCCAGGTCCAGCCTCATCATGCCAACTTGGACCAGCTGTTCCCCTGGCCCTGATCGGCACAGTCGCCAGAGGGCGCCGTTGAGCTCCCGAGTCAGGTTTCTCTGCCCACAGTCCTCCAAGGCTCCCACCTCCCTGGGAATGGAGGGGGGAGAGCCCAAATCCCCTCCAAGGCCCACAAAGCCCTGCACAACCTGCTGGGTCCCCTCCCTGCTCTCACCTCCTCTCTCTCTCCTCCTTGCTCACTCTGATCCAGACACACGGCCTCCTTACTGTTCCTCCAAGACGCCAGGCACCGGCCAACGACTTTGCTCAGGCCATTCTCTCTGCCTGGAACACTTTCCCCCCTGGTACTCCCATGGCTGGTTCCCTTACTCCTCTGTGTCTCAGCTCCAATGTCATCTCAGCATGGCCTTGGCTGCCCTATTTTAAACTTGAACCGCCCTCGTAGTATTACCGGCCCCTCCCCCTCCACTACCACTCTTCATTTTCTCACCCAATACATCATTTACTCTAAGGTTATGTTTTTCTCGGTCCATTTTCCCACTTTGAATGTCAGCACCATGAGGGCAGAGGTTTTTCCAGGAGAGGGACAGCCTGTGCAAAGGCCCTGAGGTAGAGGTGTGCAGGGTAGCAGCAGGTGTGGCTGGAGCTGAGCGAGGGAGGGGGCAGTGGGCAGAAGTGATTTGCCATGTGATTCATCCAGGCAGATGGTGGCCAGAGGGAAGCCCCAATCTTCTTACCCAAAGCCCCTTAATACTTCCGCTGCACGGGTCACCCTGGGCCTCTCCTGCTCCAGGTGGCCACCATGCCGGGGCTGGTGGGTGAGGCAGGGGCCGAGAGCTGGAGCCAGGCCCCCCCACTGTATGAGGAATACCGCCCGCCCCCACTGGATGCCATCCGCCTGCCCAGGTATGTGCTGTACCTGCTGCTGGCTGCGCTCCTGGTGGTGGCTGTGGCCTATGCCATTGTCGGGCATCTCATCAAGGACCTCGCCCACGACCTGGCCGGTGAGTCCCAACCCACCATGAGCCTGGCTTAGGCTAGTGCTGGGCCACTGGGGGGCGGGGTGTCTGAGGGCCTCCCCAAGTCAGGACAGGGAGGAGGGTGGATGGGGACTTGGGGAGGCAGAGGGCCTCTATAGGTTGGGGGGGCGGGGGGAGGCGGGTGGGCAGGGCCTGGGATGCTCCTCACTAGCTCCTGCCACAGATTGGGCCTTTGGCCCAAAGCCAGACCAGGAGGACGCCCCCCGGGAGCTGCGCCCAAGCCTGGAGGGTGAGGATCTGGAGGAGCTAGACCTGCAGCTGGCCCTGGCCTGGCGGGGTGATGAGGACAATGGCGGGGGTGGTCAGGGGGCACCCGCCCGGGCCCCCCACTGCCCCTCCATCGCCTTCAAGGAACCGCCCACCCGAAACTCCTGGAGGCTGGACTGAGCTGGGCACTGCCCTCGGGCCCAGGGCCCAGGTGCCACCCTCCTTTCCGCCGTACAGACTGGACCTGTGCTCCCGGAGCCCTTTCTCCACGGCTCTGCCCTGTCTTGCAGAGAACGTTCCCTTTCTTGGCTTCCAGGACACTGACTATTTCTACCCTCCTGCGCCCCCAGACTTTCAGAGTTTAACCCCACCCAGCCTCCAGCAAGCTGCAGGCCATCTGTCCACCCAGAGTGCCAAGAAGATTTTAAAAATAATAATATTAGTAGCCAGCCCTTGCCTAGTGCTTAGTACATGCCTGCTGCTATTGTGCTAAATGAGCCATTTCCATGTATTATCTCATTTAATCCTCTGAGTGAGACTTAGATGGGGAAATGGAGGCACACAGCCTAGAAATGACTTGTTTGGGGTTCTGCCCCCACTCACTCTTCTGAGCTCACCCACTTCCGAATACCACCCCCCCCTCCCCCCGACTCCACACCTCATTCCCGGCTCCACTGCTCTGTTGCTGGATCTGTTTCTGGGGGTCCTGAATACCAGGACAGCCTGCGAACTGGGGACAGCACCTGAGGCTTCCTTCCCTTCCAAGCTTTGCACAGGACAGACATACAGTAGGCGCTTCATATATGCCCGCTGGCTGGTCGAAGGGGGCCTGTTCTAGGGCTGGGTTGCCTGAGCAATGACACGTGAGTGGCCCATCCGCACGGTGGTTAGAGTCAGACCTCAGGAAAGTATGCAGTGAGCACTCCATAAGTGCATGTGCAATGATGCTGGCATTCTCCAGCCCCCAGCCTGTGGAGGTCTCACAAGCCTGAAGAAGGGCCAGCCCCCACCCCCTGGCCTCCCTCCCACGTGCCTGGGCTGTGGCTGTCCTGTGGCAGCTGGGGGGGCCCTCCTGCACTCCCGCAGGCCCCGTATCTAATCAACCCGGGGACCAAAGTTGAGAGCCTGAGTCATCAGCTGCCCAGGGTGCCCTGATCTCTGGCCACAGGGAGTGGCTGGGTTTGGTGATGACTAGTGGCCCATCACTCATCCTTCCAGTTCAGTCCTCACCCCGTCAGTGACTGTGGGTCCCGAGGGGTCAGGGAAGCAGGATGAGGCAGAGCAAGCTGGTGGGGAGGGAGACCCAAGCTCTGGCCGTTTCTGCACCACCGCTGTGCTCCTGGCCTCCCTGCGCTTCTATAAATGGAGGTGTTCAGAGAAGGAAGCATGACACATAAAAGTGCTGAGCCTGGGCTGGGAAAAGGGCTAGGGCCGCCCCAGCCTGGCCCCGGTAGCGTGGAGCCTGGGGGACCTCGGCATTGGCGGTCCTGGGCAGGCGCAGGGCGCAGGTGCCAGAGTCCCTGGGTTAATTGTTACACCAGGTCCAGAGTCTGCCCTCCTGGAGGGAGGGGGATGCCAACCAGGTAGGGCGAAGGGAGGGCCTGCCCCTGCCCCGGACCCACCTGCGCCTTATCAGGGGCTGGGCAGGGCCTCGCCCAGCCAAAGAGGACCGGGCTCGTCCGGACTGCACACTCCCGCTGCCGGCTCCTCCACGCCATGGAGGCCCTGAAGACCCTTCTGGTGATCAGCGCCCTGCTCCTCTTGCCCGCTGAAGCCCAGCAGGGTAGGGGGGCCCACCACGGGGGCGGTGGGTGGGGAGGGGTCGTGGGGACGAGCCCACCTCCCCAGGCTGGGTCCTTAGCACCTTTCCCTTCTCGGACACCCAGCCCCCATCTGACTAAGCAACCCGGACTGCCTTCTCCCCTTCACCTTTGGTGGGGCCCTACACTCCCCGTCTCTGAGTCCCACCTCCCCCTACCTTCCAACAGCCACCGAGCATCGCCTGCAGCCGTGGCTGCAGGGCCTGGCTGCCGTTGTGGGGTTCCTGTTCATAGTGTTCGTCCTCTTGCTCGTCAACCGCATCTGGTGTACCAAAAGGAGGTGGGAGCATCTGTCCCCCACACCCCCACGCCCCCGGAGCCACCTGTCCCTTCGCCCTTCACCACCCCTCCCCAAAGTGCTGGGCACCCCCTCCCACTTCTTACCCTCTCTGGTAAGAAGAGAAGGCCCCCATCTCTCCATTTCCCTGTTATTCCTTAGACTCCCATCTCACAGACCAGAATAGCCGTGCTACCCACCCCTCCTTGCTTCCTGGAGTTCATGAACCTCAACCCTGTTAAGACTGGGGTGAGGCTATCCCCACTTCCCATCCTTTACACCCTGTCTCCATCTCTCCTAAAGAGCCGAGGACGATGAATCCATGTTCATAAGGGAGACCAGGCCGTACCAGAGCACAGACCTGAGGTACTGCCTGTGAGTGTGTGTAGATGTGTGAGTCAGGGAGTCAGGGGGTCAGTGTGAGCCCCCTTCTGGGGGAAATGGGTGTGTACAAATGACCTTTTTGTCCTTGAACACCTCAAGCACATTCCTGCCCCAGGGCCTTTGCACTTACTGTGCACTCTAATTGGGACCTTTTCCCTATAGCATCTGGCTGGCTCCTCCTCAGTCGCTGCTCAGATGTTTTCTCCTCACAGCAGCCCATCCTGACCACCAGCTTTCCTGACACTGTGCCCCACAGCCATGGGGCCAGGACTAGGGGGCAAAGGCTTGGGGCAGGAGGGCAGGACCTGAGAGGAGACCAGCCTTGGGCTCAGCTGAGCCCAAGATGTGCCATCCACCCACCCATCCACCCACCCATCCATCCTCCCACCTCCCACCTCCCACCTGGTCCTCCATGGGACAGCTGAGCTTTAGTGTCTGCCTTTGTAAGGTGGAAATAACAAAGTTGCCTCATTAGGTTTTATTCTGAGGATTCAATGAAGACACTTTCTGTAAAACACTCATCACAAGTTCTGGCACAGGTAAATTTCCATTAAATAGGAGTGATGGTTTCTTATTGTGGTCTGGGCCTTGTGTCTCTATAGTAAAGAAGGCAAGAGAGAGAAGGAGAAAAGGGCCAAGAAGGAAGGAGAGAGCAACTTGGGGCTGGAACTGGAGGAGTCCCAACACCAGGCGAAAGCCACGATCACCCCCATGTGAAGATTTCCTGCCCACCTCCTCCAGGCAGACCTCCAGAGATGCCTCTGTAACAGGTGACCTGGACCTGAAACGACCGAAATAACTACAGGAATACAGACCCCGAATGAAGAGGCTTGGGACCTGCCTCCCCCCACCCCCCAAGAGGGCTCTTTGCCCCTTCCATGGTCTCTATGCACCTCCTTTCCGATTTGTCCTGTGTGGTGATTCTTACTGACGCATGATGAAGAAATCCCCTACCTCCCACAACCTCGTGGCTCCCCCGCTCCCACCCACTGTCTGGTTTCTTTTCCCTCTGCCTGATAGTTCTTGGTTAGAACCTCCCCGCTCAGGATCAATATGGGCCAGGACTGCCTCTTGGGAACTTGCATTAAATAATTGATCAGAGCCCAGCCAGTGTTGCTCAGTGGTTAACGTCGACCTATGAACCGAGAGGGTAGGGTTCAATTCCCAGTCAGGGCACATGCCCAGGTTGCGGGCTTGATCCCCAGTGGGGGATGTATAGGAGGCAGCCAATCAATGCTTCTCTCCCATCACTGATGTTTCTATCTCTTTCTCTTCGGTCTCCTTCCCTCTCCCTTCTTCTCTGAAATAAAAATATATTTTAAAAAAGAGAATTGACCAGAGCTGCCTAGCCAGTGTGGGTCTATGGATAGAGCGTTGCCAGTATACCAAGAGGTCACATGCCCAAGTTGCAGATTCCATCCCCAGTGGGGGGTATGAGGTAGCCCATTGATGTTTCTCTCTCACATCACATTGATGTTTCTGTCTCTCTCTTCCTTTCTCTTCCCCTCTCTCTAAAAAATAAATAAAAACATATTTTAGCCCTAACTGGTTTGGCTCAGTGGATAGAGCGTCAGCCTGCAGATTGAAGGGTCCCAGGTTTGATTCCGGTCAAGGGCATGCACCTTGGTTGCGGGCACATCCCCAGTAGGGAGTGTGCCGGAGGCAGCTGATAGATGTTTCTCTCTCATCGATGTTTCCAACTCTCTATCCCTCTCCCTTCCTCTCTGTAAAAAGTCAATCAAATATATTAAAAAATATTTTTAAAAAAGAAAAGAATTGATTTGCCCTGGCCCATTTGGCTCAGTGGATAGAGCATCGGCCTGTGGACTGAAGGGTCCTGGGTTTGATCCTGGTCAAGGGCACATACCTCAGCTGCAGGCTCGATCCCAGTCCCTGGTCTGGGTGCATGGGAGAGCAACCAATTGTGTCTCTTTCACATCGATGTTTCTCTCTCTCCGTCTCTCCCTCTCCCTTCCACTCTCTCTAAAAAATCCATGGAAAAATATCCTCGGGTGAAGATTAACAACAACAACAACAACTCGATCAGAGCCTTTCGGAAGGGCTTCTGTCGGGACTATTTCGCATGGGAGAGGCAGCTTTTGGTTTGGGGGCAATGCCCAGGCAGGTATGGAAGGAAGAGCAGGCTGCACAGATGCCCTGGGCAGAGGAAACGCTTCCCCTGCAATCTTGATTTTGCTGCCCTGAGCCTGGGACTTTGAGACCCTAGGGCTGTCTCCTGGGAAAGTCCTGCTTCTCCCTCCCCCATGTCTGGGCCACTCTGTAACCGTTTCTGAGAAGTGGGTCTTGGAGGACGGCCTCGGGGCCCTGTATTTTCTTGGGCTAGAAAAGCATTTCTCCTCCCAGTTTCCAGCCGTCCCCTTCTCCTCACTTTCTCTGGGCTCTGGACCTTGCCCTGGACGTTAGCCATTTCTGTCAAATCTTCTTAATGAGGATCTAGACACAGTACGGCATTTGGAGCGCCGTTCTGGGCCCATAGCTGGGGGTGGTAGGATTCCACCCATAAGGCTTCTAAGACGCTCCCATGATCCCCACCAGGTGGGCAGGAAAACCATGAAGAAACGAACGAAACAGACACCCTAATAGATGCTCCCACAGAACACCTGGCGTCTTTATTCTCTCTCAGTCTCCATCGGTACCTAATTAGCCCCATTTCCCAGGTGAAAATACTGAGGCTTAGGAAGAGGGGCAGGGCTCCCTGGCTGTTGTTGACAGAGCCATGATGGAAGTACAGGCTGCCCAAAATATGGGCGCTGGCAGGCTGTGGGTAAGGTGAAATTTGGAGGTTCAGGTGCTGGGATGGTGGTGGTGGGGTTGGGGGTGGGGTATCCTTTTCTTGCTGTGGTTCCCACCTGGGAGAACTGTGTCCCTCTGGGGTGCTGCCATCCACTCCCACAGTTTTGAGAGCCAGGAAGCCAGAGGGACCAGATTTGGGCTCATGTAGCTCCTGCCTGGGTTCCAGCACTTCCTTCCTTTGCGAATTGGGCAAATGTCCTCCCCTGCCTGAGCCTCAGCGTCCCCTCTGGACCATGGAAACCACAAGGGTGCAGGACGCAGTTCCTGGGAATTGTGAGGCTGGGACAGTGAGTGCTCATTAAACTGGGTTATCTGGGCCCCTCTCGTCTCCACAGCAATAAAAAAAAGGAAGAGGAGACGGTGAGGAGGAGGAGGAGGAAGGAGTGGGCGACCAGGGAGGTGGGAGCTGAAGGGGAAAGAAGAGCCTCCAAACTGGGAGAAGGGCGAACTCCTCCTCAGGAAGGCTCCCACTCGCCTCCCCCAGGCAGCGCCAGGGCTGCACCCTGTAAGCCAAGACCTGGTTCTGGGGCCAGCAACATGGCTCCATCAGGGCGAAGAGTCCCTGAATGAAGAGGGCCCGGACCCGCCCCAGTTCCCTCCTGGAGGGTCCTTTGCACGTTCCGAGGGTGGGACATACCCCCTCCCCAGGTCGGTCTCCACCTGGTAATTTTGCTCACGCTCGGAGGGTACCCCTGGACAAAGAGCTCCCCACATCCCCGAGCCCCCCGCCAGCTCATCTCTACCCAGTCTGCATGGCAGGAACCTTTTTTACCCTCTGCTTGACTTCTGAATTCCGCTGCCCTTTGAATTTCATGAGAGAAGCCAGCTCTTCCTCCTGCCCGTCTACCTCCAAGACCTTTTGGGGTCCTGCTCCCACGAGTTCATAGGAACCACTTGACTCCCAGCCTCTCTCCTGGCCTCGGTTTGCTTCTCTGCTGCATGGCAGTGGTCCAAGACCCCTTTCCCCTGCAAAAGGGAAGGTGGGGAGAAACTGCAAATGGTTCTGCCTGTCTCTGCATGGCCCAGGGCAGAGCCAGCCTTCCTCCTCCCGTAATCTTGCTTTTGCTATTCCTGAACATGAACTTTGAGCAGCTCAGCACGGGGACTGTTTCCTGGGAGATGAAGGCCCCTCCCCCACACGCTGTTTCAGGGCTCTGTCCTGGAAGCGGTGACACTCAGGAGCTGAGGTTTGGGGGTGCACAGCACCATCACCTCACTCTTCCGGTGCTGCACTGATGGTGCTGTGGGCCCCAGGCAACTAACTTTACCTCTCTGTGCCAAGTGTCCTGGCCTGTTAGAAGGGAGGAAAAGAACTAGAACCACCACCCATTCCACTAGGATTAAATGAAACAATGTCTACAAAACTCCTAGCACCGAACCCAGAACCCAAAAGGTGGCTGATAAAGGCCAGCTTTTTGTTTTGCTGAAATGGTAACAATGGGGCAGGGGAATGACACTTCCCTCTCCGGCGAGGGGATTCCGAAGGTCAGAGGGCGTGTTTTCTTATTTCGTTTTTTAAAATCCTACCTGAGGATATGCTTTACAGATCTGAGAGAGAGAAAAGGAGGGAGGGAGGGAGGCAGAGAGGGGAGAGAGAAACATGGCCCTTGCGGTGCCCTGATCCCTCCACGCAGGTATGTGCTCTGACTTGTCATCAAACCAGCGACCTTTCGGACACGCTGACCCGCACCGGCCAGGGCCAGAGGGTGTGCTCTCTGACTGCAGCTCTGGGAATGTAGGAATCTTCTGCCTCCTGTCTCCTCTGTGCACAGTCTGGGGGTTCCCAGTGGCTGGGGTGCTGGGGAGGGAGGGGTAAGAGGGAGGGGCTGTCCGGACTCCTCTCTTTCTGCAGGTGGCAGAACCTCCCCACTAGGGGCCATGTGGAAATTTGGGGGGAAATTTTTTAGGTTGTCACAAGTCTGTCTCCCTTTTATGGTATTTAGTGGGGGCCCAGGGATGGTAAGAAGCCTGCAGTGCTGGGATAGGCCCCCCAAGCCAATAACTGCTCTATCCTAGGGGCCAATGGTTGAAAACCACTGAGGCTTCCCTTGAGATGAAAGGCCAGAAGGAGGTCCCCAGCCAACCCCCCGAGACCGCAACCCAACTGAGCCCTCTCTAGCTGAGCTCCCACCCCAGATGAGTCCCCCTAAAAGCAGCTCCTGCAAACGCCCCCATTTCCACTGCGGGGAGGAGCTGGACTGTGGGGATGGGGATGGCGGTTTGAGTCCAGGTCCTCAGTCTGCCCACAAGGGGGTGCCAGACCCTCACTGCTGAGGGCAGGAGCAGCCCAGCATCCTAGGGCTGGAGAGGGGCGGGGCCATCAGGCACACAGGTGGGAAGGGCCTGGACTCGGCTCACCCCAACCCGCCATCAAAGCAGCTCTCTCCCCCTCAGCACTGCTGAAACTTGGGGTTGGGTTGTCCTCTGTGGGGGGCTGTCCTGGGCACCACCCTTTCCATGTCAGTAGCTTTCCCGCTATAACCACAGCTGTCCCCCGGCACTCTGAAAGGTCCCCTGGGGACATCTGATCTAAAGGTCTCAGGACACCCGCCGCTCACCCAAAGTGTTGGGGTCCCTGTTTCCGGGTGCCACCTGCCCTGCCCCTCCAGCCTCCTCCCTTCACTTGGCATGGATCACAGAAGAGTCCGCAGTGAACACAGAAAGGACCAAAGACAGCCAGAAAGAGTCGAAGCATAGCTTGTTTAATTTTTATACATTTTTTCTTTTCTTTTTTTTTTTTTTGCCTTTTAATGAATATTTTATGGAACCCCCCATTTTTCTTTTCTTTTTTTTTTTTTGCATAGGGAAACAAACAAAATAATAACAGCCAGAATCACTTTCTGTAAATGGTACTTAGGCGCATCTGCAAAACCGAAATGACTGCATAATATACAAGGTTATGATCGGAGTATGATGAGGGAGCAGGGTGGGTGAGCCAGGGGAGGGAGACGGCTGGGCTCCGGTCTGCCCAGATGCCCCCTTGACCCCCATCCAGTCCCCACACTGGGGAGGAGGAGGCAGACCCAGCCAGAACCTCCCGCATGAGCACGGGGTGTGTATGTGTTATCCGGTATGTGCGGCAAGCAGAAAGCAAGAAACAGAGTAAGCTATCCTGGTAATATCAGTAAAATACAAAATGAGAAAAAAAAAACCCTCAAAAATATCTTGAAAGAAAAAGAAAGTGAACAGCAATACCACCAACAATTTTAAGGATGGATGGATGGATGGATGGATGGAAGGAAGGAAGGGAGGGGGGAGGGGAAGGAGGGAGGAAGGCAACTCGGAGG